CCCTTTGTCTTCGAAATTGTGGGTTTGGTGAAATGTTTGCTTTTTTGATGTGATTTGTGCATACCTTGTGGGCTGAGGTATGTGCATGGGAATTTTGGTAAATTTTCATCGGGTGTTTTTTGAGTTTTGCTGTCCCGTTGGACATCCTTTTCATTTTTATATATATAGATGATTGGTTGGTTGCTTACCTTTGAAAATTACCTAGGGCTGCCTCTGCTGGGATGTATAGTTCAGCTGCAATCAAAGAGCATTCTGAACTCCACCAATGATGGAATTGAACCAAATATGGCACACGACGAACAGAAAATATATATCAGTGATTAGTTGGCGGGGGGCGCCAAAATACTGTTTGCTTACCTTTGAAAATTACATAGGGCCGCCTCTGCGAACACATTTTGCATTTTCTTTTGCAGTTGGAATTTGTTGGGAAATCCGGCGAAAGCGGTGGAGGGATGTACGTCATCAGTATCCTTTTTTCCCATCAGTACGATCCATATTAAAGATCACATACGGTCTTCCTCCCGTTCCTATTTCCATAACTTTCTCCCAAAACAGACCTCCACAAAGCCTTGGCCTCCCTGGCCACCGCCACCCTGGAATCCATCGTCCAGGAAAGGTAAATAATAAGCATAATAATATTACAAATATGTGTACGTACGTAAATATGCATAGAATGTATTATAATGTCATATAATAATAATAATAATAATAATAATAATAATAATAATAATAATAATAATAATAATAATATGTGCACATACCTAAATACATATATTTACGTATGTGCAGAAAGTCCAGGTGTAAATGAAATAAATCATGATTATTTTCCCGGCCCAAAAATCCAGGTTTGGCTCCCGCTGTGCGCGGATCTTCCGGCTGCTTTTGCGGAAGAAGCACTTGGAGCAGAAGCAGATCGAGGACTTTGCCATGATCCCGGCCAAGGAGGCCAAGGAGATGATGTACAAGATGCTCTCCGCCAACATCGTCGCCTTACAAGTCAGGCCTCGCTATCGTTATTATTATTACCATTATCATTCTTATTGGGGTTGATGGAATGGCCCTTGTGCTCATTACCAATGTGCAAATATTTATTATTATTATTACTATTATTATTATTATTATTATTATTATTATTGGGGTTGTTGGAAGGGCCCTTGTGCTCATTACCAATGTGCAAATGTTTATTATTATTATTATTATTATTATTATTATTATTATTATTATTATTATTATTGGGGTTGTTGGAATGGCCCTTGTAGTTGCCACCAATGTGCAAACTATATTATTATTATTATCATGAATATTATTATTATTAGGGTTGTTGAAATGGCCCTTGTGCTCATTACCAATGTGCAAATGTTTATTATTATTATTATTATTATTATTATTATTATTATTAGGCTTATGGGAGTGGCCTTTGTGGTTGATGCCAGTGTGTAAACTATATTATTATTATTATTATTATTATTATTATTATTAGGCTTATGGGAGTGGCCTTTGTGGTTGCTGCCAGTGTGTAAACTATTATATTATTATTGCTGTGGTTGTTGTTGTTGTTAGGGTTGTTGGAGTGGCCTTCTGGTCAATGCCAATGTGCAAATGTTTATTATTATTATTAGGGTTGTTGGAGTGGCCTTTGTGGTTGCCGCCAGTGTGTAAACTATTATATTATTATTGTGTGGTTGTTATTGTTATTATTATTATTATTAGGGTTGTTGGACTGACCTTGTGATCACTGCCAATGTGCAAATGTTTATTATTTTTATTATTAGTACTATATTATTATTATTATTATTATTATTTATTAGGCTTGTTGGTGTGGCCTTTGTGGTTGCTGCCAGTGTGTACACTATTATATTGTTATTGCTGTGGTTGTTGTTATTATTATTAGGGTTGTTGGAATGGTTTTCTGGTCACTGCCAATGTGCAAATGTTTATTATTATTATTATTATTATTATTATTATTAATTATTATTATTAGGGTTGTTGGAGTGGCCTTTGTGGTTGCCGCCAGTGTGTAAACTATTATATTATTATTGTGTGGTTATTATTATTATTATTATTATTATTATTATTATTATTAGGATTGTTGGATTGACCTTGTGATCACTGCCAATGTGCAAATGTTTATTATTATTATTATTATTATTATTATTATTATTATTATTATTATTAGGGTTGTTGGAGTGGCCTTTGTGGTTGCCGCCAGTGTGTGAACTATTATATTATTATTGTGTGGTTGTTATTATTATTATTATTATTATTATTATTATTATTATTATTATTATTATTATTGTTGTTGTTGGATTGACCTTGTGATCACTGCCAATGTGCAAATGTTTATTATTTTTATTATTAGTACATTATTATTATTATTATTATTATTATTATTATTACGAGGGTTGTTGGAATGGCCCTTGTGGTGGTTGCCTGCGTGCAAACGCTCATTCCTGCTCTTCCCACAACAGGAAATCCCGAAGACCCCGGACCACGCTCCTTCCCGGACCTTCTACCTCTACGGGGTGGACACGCTCTCTGCCGCCCGCATGTTGCTCCACCGCTCTTACAAGGCACGCAACACTTCCCAGTCTTTTCCCCACCAATCCGCACGTGAAAAACGATACACATTCTTCCCCATAATCTCACACATTACCTTCACAACTATTATTATTAATAATAATAATCATATTATAATTATTTAATACTATTATTAATAATATATTTATTATAGTGATTATATACATTATTTATTATCATTGGAATATATTATATTATTATTAGTATCACAATGAATATATGATAATATTATTCATCGAATCATGATTATATGATATTATTATTATTAATCATGATTATATTATAATTATTTAATTGTATTATTATTAATATATTGTATTTATTATCATGGTTATATACATTACTTATTATCATTGGAATATATTGTATTATTATTAGTATCACAATGAATGTATTATATTATTATTCAAATCATGATTATATTATTATATTGTTATTATTATTATTATTAATCATTATATTATAATTATTTAATAGTATTATTAATAATATATTTGTTATTGTGATTATATAAATTACTTATTATTATTGGATTATATTATATTAGTATCGCAAGGAATATATGATAATATTATTCTCCGAATCATGATTATATTATTATCTTATTGTTATTATTAATCATGATTATATTATAATTATTTAATAGTATTATTTATAATATATTATATTTATTATCGTGATTAAATAAATTTCTTATTATTATTGGATTATATTATATTAGTATCACAAGGAATATATTATAATATGATTCTTCGAATCATGATTATTATATTATTGTTATTATTATTATCAATCATGATTATATTATAATTATTTAATAGTATTATTAATAATATATTATTTTTGTTATTGTGATTATATAAATTACCATTTGATTATATTATATTATTATGTGTCACAATGAATATATTATAATATTCTTTGAATCATTATATTATTATATTATTATTGTTATTATGATTATTAATCATGATTATATTATAATTATTTAATAGTATTATTAATATTATATTATATTTGTTATCGTGATTATATACATTACTTATTATAATTGGAATATATTATATTATTATTAGGATCACAATGAATACATTATAATATTATTCTTCGAACCATGATTATATTATTATATTATTGTAATTATTATAATTATCATGATTTTGATGAGTGCACGAATCCCGCCTTCTTTCTGTTCCAGAGCGTGGCCAACCTGATGGAAAGGCGGCTCCACGAGACCAAGGAGAACCGGTGAGCAAGTCTGTGTTTGGGGGTGTTTGTGGGGGGATCCAGAACTACCAAGGGGTCCCAGGTCTCCCACCGTAATAACGATGGCCGACTTCATTCGAACCCTATATTCCTTACCCTTACCCATAAGTCCCAGCGGGTTGAGGCCATCTTGTCCTTGTTGCAGGACTTAGCTTAGCCTTCTTCGTACCCTTCCTCTTGCCCTTATTCTTATTCATATTCTAATGCTTCTTCCCCTTTCTCTTTTCCCTCTGGCCGCTTCCCGGTCCAGGCACCTGCTGGAGAAGTCCCAGCGGGAGGAGGCCATCTTGTCCTCGTTGCATTCCTTACCCTTATTCTTCCTCTTCCTCTTGCCCTTATTCTTACTCATATTCTAACGCTTCTTCTTCCTTTTCTTTCTCTTTTCCCGCTGGCRGCTTCCCGGTCCAGGCACCTGCTGGAGAAGTCCCAGCGGGAGGAGGCCATCTTGTCCTCACTGCAGCCTTACCTTACCCTTACTRGTARCCTTCCTCGTATTCTAACACTTCTTTTTCCCCGTCTTTCTCTTTTCCCTCTGGCCACTTCCCGGTCCAGGCGCCTTCTGGAGAAGTCCCAGCGGGAGGAGGCCATCTTGTCCTCATTGCATACCTTACCCTTATTTGTACCTGTCTTTTTACCCGTATTCTTACTCGTATTCTAACGCTTCTTCCTCCCCGTCTTTCTCTTTTCCCTCTGGCCGCTTCCCGGTCCAGGCGCCTTCTGGAGAAGTCCCAGCGGGTGGAGGCCATCTTGGCTTCCTTGCAGTCGTCTGGGGGCGCCGAGGAGGCCCAGTTGCAGGAGATCGAGGAGATGATCACGGCCCCTGAACGCCAGCAGCTGGAGGACCTCAAGCGCAACGTCCACAAGTGAGTCCTTCCAAAGGATTCATTGCGGACTAAACCGAACTAAACGTGGGCCGAACGGAAGGGACGCGGCACTAATAAAACTCTGTTTCTTCCCCTTTTTCAAATCCAAGGATCGACGCCAGCGAAAACCAAGTGGACGAGACCATCTTCATCCTGGAGTCGTACATCAACAGCACCGTCAAGCCTTGAAACGGACGTCTCTTCCGCCTTTATTTTCACAAATAAATACAATATTTTGGTGCAAAGAAATGCTTTCTATTCTTCAATGCAACCCTATATATAGAAACAGACCTTTTCCTGATCCTTCCAGGAGGAATGTCTTCTTCTATTTTTAGTATTATTATTGTTATTGTTGAACAATGAACAATATTTATTGATCCGCCAATTGGCCTTATCAAATCAGACAGTAGAAATACAACACACAATAGTCTTATTGTTGTAATTATTTCTTAACAGTTATTTCTATACAATGTGGGATGATATTATTATTATTATTATTATTATTATTATTATTATTATTAATCACACCCTGCATTGAATAGAGTTATGTAAGAAATAATTACAAGAATAATATAAAGTAAAATAAATAATAATAATAATAATAATAATAATAATAATATACTTCAATTTTGGATAGGATTATTATTATTATTACATAATAATATATTTCAATGTGGGGTGGGATTATTATTATTATTATTATTATTATTATTATTATTAATCTCAC